TAAGGTACAGGTCTTGTACACAGCATTCTTCTATTGTTCACATCGTAATGTTCTCAGAAATGGGAAGCAGAAATATCTACATTGTTTTCTTTTTGTTTTTTTGTTTTTTTTTTTTTTTTTAGTTTGGGAGACAAACAAGGGACTAGTGCTCCATTTTGAAAATGACTAAGTTCCTATTGCAAACCCTGATAATTGTAATATTATGTAAGGGATCTTTTCACAATCTTTTCTCAGAATTTTATATGTGGCATAGTTAATTCTTTTGCTTCTTGTACCTAGGAAAGGCAGGGGAATCTGTAGTAGCTCAGAATAGGAAAAAAATTGACAGTGTCTATTGTTAAGTGAGGATATTTGAATCTACTGGAAAATAGGACACAATGCAGGTCTTGGGAATATACATATTTGACCAAAGAAAATGGATTTGTAGGGCTAACTGGGTGCCCAAATTTCAGGGTTACCATGAGGCTTCCAGTGATATACCTAGCTAATTTGAAGGCCAGAATCACTTTAAAAATATCCTTCCTCTTCTATATAATGAAATTGCTAGTTATAATGAATGATAATCAGGATTTTTACTGTTTTATTAAGAGAGATAATTGACATACAGTACTGCATAAATTTAAGGTGTATAGCATGATGACTTGACTCACATATATTGTGAAATGACTTCCACAATAAGTTGAGTTAATATCATAATTTCATAGAGATACAAAGAAAAAAAGAATGAAAAAGTTTTTTTCCTTGTGAAGAGAACCCTTAGGATTTAGTCTCCATATTGTTCATCCTCAGTACTTATTTATCTTATAACTGGAAGTTGGTACCTTTTGACCCTATTCACCCATTTCACCCAGCTCTCATCTCCTGCCTCTGGTAACCACAAATCTGATCTTTTTCTCTATGAGGTTTTTTGTTTTTTTTTGTTGTTTATTTTTTAGATTCCACACATAAGTGATATCATACAGTATTTGCCTTTCTATGACTGACCTCATTTAACATAATGCCCTCAAGGTCTGTCCATATTGTCCCAGACGGCAGGATTTTCTTCTTTCTCATGACTAAATAATAGTCACATCTTCTTTATCCATTCATCTTATGCTATACCTAATCTATTTATCTATCATTTATCTATCTATCTATATCTATCATGTATCTTGTATCTATCATCATCTATCTATTTTTTACCTCTTTCAGACTTCAAAAGGACTGGAAGCCAAAGACATATAACTAATCCAATAAACACATTTGTTCTGGCATTTTACTTTCCACCCAAAATATCAGTGAACTTGAAAAAGAAAAATAAGTGTTGTCTTTTCCATCATTTCGTTCAGATATTTGTCAAAGAAAAGTGTAATTATTTTCCACTAGTATTTGGAAATGGCTGATTGATTTTTTGAAGTTCTTCAATTCTAGTAGTCTTTATTTCCACTTTGAAACTGCTTGTTGTCATTTAAAAATAAATAGCATCGGTTCTCCTCTGTTGTGTACTAATGTATTTTAATGAGTTCATCACACTGCCTTTGCATTACCCAGCTAAAAAGGATTAAGAAATAATGGTGGTATTGCTGCTGTTGCATTATTTAATTAAGAATTATACATGTTTGTTCTTTGTTGGAATGCCTTTTATTTATCAGTAGAGATCAAGGCCTTAGCTTACCAGAGAACACTGGAGAAAGCCAGCCAGGTCTCCAGGTTCTTACTTGAGCAGGAGACTAAACTACTAGATTTTACTCTCCACTGTGATTTGTCTTCCCTACACCACTGACAGCCCTGGAAACAATAGTCTTACACTTTTTCATCTTCATTACTTTGGTGGAGAGTCATTTTGGCATTTCTCTGACATTCTTGTTTTGTGTGTTTGTTTTCTTTTGATTCCTTGGGAACTTATTTGAAGGGCAACAGATTCACTGTCAAGCAAGTTGAATGGTTTATTTTAAGACTTCATTTTGTAGTTGTGGAAATTGATTTATCTGGAGAAGAATCAGAACTGGAATGGTCTAGACAGTCAGGAATGGCGAATGCTTTGCTGGTTAGAATTTCATGTAGGCCTGGGTAGTGGCCATCCTTTAATCTGTGTAATTAGAACCTTGTTCTGGGCCTTGTGACTTAGGGGTCCTGCCCTAGCTCTTCTTGGTCATTCATTCCCAAGGCCAGGATGTGGTGTTATGTCAGAGAAGTCAAGCTGGGTGTGGACACCTGAAACTCTGGTGCCTACAATTTTTGCTCTCCTAGACTGAGGTTCCTGGGACCTGGGACTTTTCACCTCAAAGGCCCTCAACTCTCTTTGAGAGCCTGCTATGTGCTGAGTCTTTCCCCTGGTCTATGACAGTTCACTTGTCTTTAGGCTGGGTTTTAGGTGGGTAAGGGGCAACTATTATGGGAGGAACAAGGGAGGGGAGGGACTGGCAGAGCTATGGATCCAAGCGTGTCTGTAACTCTTGGTGTCTAAGTTTTTGGGTCCCTCACAGTGTAAGATAAAAGTGAGGAGAAGGGGGGCTTGCTGCCAGCCCTAGCAAGTTTGTTTTCATATATAAGAGAACAAATTGCTCTATCTTTTACGTAAATTTAAGCTAGGAAAAAAATAATTGCACCTGTGGTAGGTTGAACTATATCTCCCCAAAAGCTATTTCAAGTCCTGAAATCTAGAGCCTGTGAATACAGCATTTGGAAATAGTATCCTTGAAGATGTAACTAAGTGAAGAGGAGGTCATACTTGAGTAGGATGGGCTCTAAATCCAATGACTAGATCCAGTCTACAGGAATAGAACCAGTATCTAGGAGAAGGGCATGACAGAGTTTCTTCCTCAAATCTTCCAGAAGAAACCAATTTGCCAATACCTTGATTTCAGTTTTCTGGGCTCCAGAACTGTGAGAGAGTAAATTTCTGTTGTTTTTAAGCCACCCAGTTTGTGATGCTTTGTATGAGAACCCCAGAAAGCTAATACACAATGGATACATTATTTTGACAAAGAAGATATTTTTTGAAGCCATGTTTTTGACACTGTGATGGAGATTACTACAACAATATAACAACCTTATTCCCTGAGATCTGCAAAACTCTTACTAACTGTGCATAAAGAGTAAAATTGTCTGAAGATAATTTTATTTCTAAAAAATTATGTATTTATCTCTAAAGTTTCTCAATATAAAACAAGCATTGATTATTCTTTTATTCCAGATTTAGAATATCATTACTACCATATTCCTTTATCTTTTGAATCATTTCTATTATCCTTGTTGTTGATATGAAACCTTTTTACAGGGATGAATCATAGAAATAGCTGATATTCAACTTATAAAAGGGATGATTTCATGTGGTTCAACCTAACATACTAATATTGCTAAAGAGTCCTTATAGTTACCAAGACACTTCATTTACCAAAGAGGCTTAGCTGCTTCAAGAATTTTGTTTAATACTTATATAAATAGACTGGATGGTTGGCAGGAGAGATCACTTATGTTTGTAAATGATTCCAAGTTGGCTGAGAGGAACATTATTATGTAGGATCAGACAGGGATACACAACATTGATAGAGTAATATTCACTGGATAAAGCAAATTGCAGTTAGGGGAGCAAGAAAGGATTTGTTTGCAAAATAGAATTATTAATTTGAAAAATGCAACAGGAATAGAAATATTTACATGGACTGGGTCACATGCAGAGAAGTTTTAAAGTCAGCCAATCACAGATGCAGGCTATGCTGAACATGCCCAAAAAGGGATGCCTCTGAGCCATTAATTCTGACTGACCATTTGGACCTTATCGTGTGGATTTTTGGCTACTACATTGAATGACTGTTGACACCAAATCAAAGATGCCATTCCATTGTGGTCTATGAATTTCAAGCATAAAGACATGATATTATTATCTTGAGTTATATAAGAACATTCTCCCTACAACCCATTCAAACTCTCTTCCCCTTTCAAAGCGTATTTAAAGGTCAAGGGAGTCCAGAAAGTCTCTCCCTTTTTATTTGTATAGGTCATAGTGTATATTGCTCATCATAATTCAATGTCTGACAAACAATCCTCTTTGTGTATCGGTTTCAATTTTGAATTTGTAAATTGTATGAGGACAAGGACTAAGGATTGTACATGTTTTGCACTTCAGTCAGACTAATATGTAATCAGTTAAAACATTAGTAGGCTTCATTAAGTAGGATTTAATAAAGTTAATTATTACAACAATAAAAACAGCAAAATGTCAATTTGAGAGCATGAAAGCTTGAGAAATTTGCATGGCAGTAGATGAATATTGGACTTATCTTTTTGATTCCTGAACCAAATTTCCTCATTGAGAAACAAGATATATACTAAATTTTCATGTCAATCTTATCCAAGGTGGTATTTGTATATCTATAAAATTTTATTACAAGTCAGATTCAAATCAATATGAGGCCAAAGTTTAATTTAGTGGAGATTCATGTAAAATTCCTTACTCAGAGTTTGTAGTTTTATGTGTTATAAAACATACTTACATGGAAATAATTTTTATTCGGCTTTTGTCTCTGCAACGTGAAGGCATTAAGTGGATATATTTTTTCTATGCTGAATTTTCTAATGTGGTTCATTACAATTCTAGTTTATTATCTATCCTAATGTGTCTATAAATTAATGTTTTATTATGACTTATCAAAATTGATTATTTAAATAACATTTACATACTCCTTTATACTATATATAATAATAGAATTCCCCTTCAGTCACTGTAATATATATGTGTTTGAACTTACTATAGCTCAGTCTTTTTTTATATTAATTAATTTATTTTTTCAAATACATTTGTCTCTGCCTACCCCCCACCACTTTCCCTTGCCCCCTCCCACCCTCCCTCCCTCCCTCCCTCCTTGAGCTCTTCCCCTTTGGTTTTGTCCATGAGTCCTTGCTATATGTTCCTTGACTTTCCCGCTCAGTCTTGAACAAACATTACTCTTAATACTTTTATTTACAAATTTTTTTTTAACGATTTGGGTCTAACTGATATGACATTGTTAAATCCTCAGGCCATGGTAAGTGTGACTGTGGAAAGTGCAAATGTGACAAAGGATGGTCTGGGGAAGCTTGCCAGTACCCAACTCATTGTGACCTGACAAAGAAAAAAAGTAACCAGATGTGCAAGAATTCTCAAGATATCATCTGCTCTAATGCAGGTAAGAATTTCATCCTACAAAGCTTCTTAAATGAAATAATCCAAGTTTTGTTTTTAATGGAAGTACATAGACATTGAGAAATGCTGAACCTTTGAATGAGACTACTTTTGAATAATTTTTTAGAAGTGAAATGCAGATCTATCAACAGAAAAAAAATGTCATCTTGCTAAGACTAAAAAGTTTGATATTCTCCAGCTATTCCAAATGCCTCCTTCAAGTATGAGATTTACTAGAAACAACATCCTAATAACATTTGATATAAATTGTAAGCCCTGATTTTGAATGCTGAATTAAATCTTTGGAAAAGAATTTATATAAACGGACTTAATAGTTTCTGTTATAGATCAAGGATACTTTGAATTTATACCTTAGTATCAAATAGAACCAAACCTTTTTAATTAAACAGAAGTTTCAGATGCATGATGTGCATGATGTGAAACTCATTAAAGAATATAGGAATATAGTGACAGCAAGATTTTTTGTTTGAACCAAATATTTTTATATCTCACAGAAATCATTTAAAAATATTTTTAAGAAATTTACAGAGAAGCTGTTAAAATTAACTACCAAAACCCTATTAGTATTATGCTAACTGAAGTAAGCCAGGCAGAGAAAAGACAAATACTGTAAGATTGTATCTATAAGTGGAACCTAATGAAAAAAACAAACAAGAAAATAGAGCCAGGCACATGGGAATAAGGAACAAACTGACAGTGACCAGGGTGGTAGGGGCAGGGGGAAAATGGGAGAAAGAAAGGGAAAGGTCAAGTCAAGGAACATTTATAAAGAACCCATGGACATGGACAATACGGTGGGGATTGACTGTGGGAGCAGGATGGGGTGGAGGGCAGTGGAAAGCAACAAAGGGTGGAAAAATTGGGACAACTGTAATTGAACAGCAATAAAATAAATAATTAATAAATATATACATACATACATGCCAGCCACAGTTTTAGTTTCAGTGATTTTCAGCCAATATTGTTATAATTAAATACTCTTTTAACATTTGGGCACATGGTGCCTCAAAGTCAGCTTTTCTTAACCTGCTTGAACTTGAGACTGCTCCTGTCCTAAACTGGAGGCTGTGATTTAGTTGCTTTAGGGTGTGGTCTGGACTATAGTGGGTTTTTAAAGCTCTTTGTGAAATTCTTATGCTGATCAAGGGGTGTGAGCCATTGCTCTCTCTGCTATAGGCAAAAACTTGACTACTTGAATGAATATATTCCCTGCTGAAGCTTATTTTGTTGGTGGAGTCCTACAATCAGAGCTAAGACCTTTCCACAGACTTTGTGACAAATTTCTCTGTGCAGACAAAATGCAGTGAGGTTGTTTTGCTAGTGGAAATCAAAGCCATACGCAGTGCAGGGAGGAAGTGGACCAAGGAGGGACCTTGACAAATGGCCTCAGTGGCCAGGTCACTTTCTGTGTTTACTGATATTCTTGTTTCTTTCAGCACTTCAGGCTTTCCTTTCTTTCAGCAGGATTTTTACTTCCAGTTTATAATACCCACCCTTCCAAATGTGCTTGCACACACACATTCCATCCCCCAACACCCTCTTTGGTTTTGAAAACTTCCTGCTTTCCAAACTTTGTTAAGTAATAAAATTTGAATTTTGTTTGTTTTTTGTTCTTTATTTTTGGATTTGTTTTTTTCTTTTTATTTTTTATAAAGACTATGCTTTTTTATTTTTTAAAATTTATTTATCTTTAGACAGAGCAGGAGAGAGGGAGAAAAAGAAGGGGAGAAACATCAATGTGTGAGAAAAACATTGATTGGTTTCCTCTCACAGGCCCCCAGCTGGCAACTTTACCTGCAACCCAGGCATGTGCCCTAACCAGAATAGAACCAGCAATCTTTAGATTTGTGGGATGAAGCCCAGTCCCCTGAGCCACACCAATCATGGCTATTTTTTTGGATTTGTTTACTTATTTATTTTCTTTCCAAATTAAATTCAGGGTATTTTTTAAATAATACATTAATAACAAATATGTTTTAGTTTAGGAATCCAAAGATGTTTCAACATAAGATATCTGAACACGTGATTCACTCCATTAAGATATCTATATGGAGAAAACTTAGAGGATTATTTTGATAGATGAAAACATTTAACAAGGTAGAAAACATATTTCTCAGATATCTGCACCCCTATATTTGTAACATCAATATAATACTTTTATGTAATCTACCATTCATATTCCAGGTTTTTCAATTGACCCAACAATGTACTTTAATAACTTCTACCCCAAGCCCCTATCTTGTATAGGATCCAGTCTAGGGGCAGTGTTATGTTTAGTTGTCATCTCTCTTTAGCCTCCTTTAATCTGGACAATTGCTACAGACAATGGAATTGTTTCATTGATGATTTTGAAGAAAATTTTCCCCAACTTCTTTTTAAATAGAATTTAATTCCTTTTGGCTTGGTGTGATGAGTCCTCATGATTGGATTCATGTTATACATTCTCAGCTGAAATATTAGATAGATGATTATGTGTTCTCAGGATCTGTAATCGGAAAGTACATGATATCTGTGCGCTGTCACTGGGGAGGTTAATTTTGATCACCTGGTTGAGATGTTGTCTGCTGTCTGAGCTCTGTAATTACTGACAATTACATTGTCAGAAATAAGCAGTCTGTGGGGAAACACTTTGAAGTCATAAGATATCCCAATTCATGAAATATCCCAATTTACCATCCATGGGTGACTCTTACCTGGTCTGGAGGTGTTTACAATTATTAATGAAGATTGATCATATCCAAATTACATTATTCCTTCCATATTTACCAGTTTGTACTCAATATTCTTCCACAAATGAGAGTCTCCTTTCATCTACTAATTATTCATTTGCTTAGTTAACTATTATCAAACTAAGATCACAATTCTTATCATTTCAATGATTTATTATTCATTACAGTATGTAATTGTCTGGTGCTCAGAATATCCCAGATTAGACTATCAGAGCCTCTTCAAACTAGCTTCTCTGTCCTAATGACATATCTCCATTGTTTTGTTTTGTTTTATCAGTTATTTACTTTCAGACATAATAAAATATTTCATAGTCACATTGCTCCTGCCCTGCAACAGCTTAGAGTCAACCATTTTTCTAAAGAACCTGGTTTCATTTAGTGAAGAATGGGATTAGAATAAAAATTGTGAACACTAGAAATGTTTATATCTACTGGGGCTTGCCCTTTCTGCCAACAAGCTAGAGATTACATGCATAAATATATATATGTACATATATATACAAATGCATATATATACATGCACATATATATGCATGTACATACACACACATAATAATATTTTAAAGTCATGACTTTTCACCAATATTTCCAACTCCAGTCTATTCCCACAAAGTTATTTCTTGTTTTTCCTCTTCCATATTTGGATATATTCTTCCACGGTGAGAACTTACTCTGTCTCCAACATTAACATATTTATTCATTTGCTCAATATTGTACTACATCTGAAATTGATTTTTGAATTGCTTCATACATACCACTGTATAAAAAAATGCTATAAAATATCTCATGATCTGCAGTCTACCCCTCTGTCATTTTTACCCCACCTCAATTATTCCCAACATTGGGGTATGTAGTCAAATACTGTATTCACAACTTACTTGAATTTCTCCCCCCATCTACCTTTTACTGTTGTTATGATACTTGTTTGAGATGTAATTAAGCTTATTTCATATCACTTTCAGTTTTAGGAGTTTTTCCCTTCTATGTCCACTGATTTTATTTTATTTTTTAAGACATGGAACATTAACATGTTTTCAAAAGTCCAAACTTTGCAAAAAAGGTTCCTCAGTGAATCATTAATCTCTTCCTTAAACTTTTCATCCTGCTTCCCCTCTTATCTTAGGTAATTAGTCTTTATTGCTTTCTGCTTTATCTGCTTATGTGCTTATTTTTGGTAAAGATAAATATATATGTGTTATTATTTTTCAGTTTTTCAGTTTTTCTCATGTAAAAGGTAGCATGCTATAAGTGTTCTTTCGCACTATGCCTTTGCCACTCAACATTACATCCTGGATTTCACTCCATTTTAGTACAAAGAAACCTTCCTCGTTCTTTTTTCAAATTCATAAGACTCAATTCTATATAGGTGACATAACGATCAATTTCATATGCTTGGGTATTTAGGCATTTCCACTATTTTGAAATTATAAATATTAAGGCATGAATAAATTGGTATTTTCATATTTTTGGAGATGTGTCTTCAAGGCAATCTCACTAGAGATGAGATTTTGGGCCATAAGGTAAATTCATGCTCAGTATTACATTTAATCTTTTTTGTTCTCTCGCACTTTCAGTCTAAGCCTTTCAAGTTTACTTTGACAATCTCACTCTAACCTTTTTCTTTTAATATTTATTTCTAATAACCTAGTTCAGGACCACTCCCCAAAACTGCATTAGTCTATGAATTTTCTCTACTAATATTTTCTACTAATATTTCTACTAATATTTGTGCAAGTGTGGTTTGCTGGAAGTAGTTTGGAGCAGAAGGGGAAAAAGAGGTAAATGGAGTGAGACATAAGACTTAAGGGCAGACTGACATGGAGCTGGTGACTAAGAGAGTTCCCAAGTCCCCTGACTCTGCAGGGGCCCAGAAAGTCATGCACAGTTGCAGGGTAAAATAGAGCTTGATGTCAACGCACAGGTGTATAGGCTGATGTTCAAGACTGGGAAGTCATCCTAGAGAGAGACAGCTATATTAGTCAGAATGATAAGCCAGAGCTAAATTAATCTAACATAAAGCAGAAGACCAATCCTAGAAACTGAGCTAACTGGAAACCAAGAAAGAGAAGCGGTATGACATAGCATGAACACAGAAGTCTGGCACTTTTGCCTGGGCTTCCATATGCCATTTTTTGGAGCTTTGATTGTGAATTGGTGGGTGAGACAGGAAGTCTCTGAGCTCTTCTAAACTTCCCACATCAGCCAGGAATGGTTCTAATGTGTAGATGGGAGTGAGCCTGCCCGTGGGAGATGTCAGTGAGAATTTATAGAATTCAGAGACAGAGACTATTTCTTCTCATCTTTCCTGAAAATAAATACTACACATAGTCCTAACTATGTTACACTTATTCCCAAACCATGAAGGCTTGAGGTATTTCAATAGATATATTCTGTTACCCCAGTCATGTGCAATTTACTATTATCAATATTCTTGATCCTCTACTATCTGCCTTCAACCTACCTGTTTCTCCAAACTCAGGCCAGATGATTCATTGTTCTTTAATCCTTCATATATATTAGCTTCCTCAAGCTTTTTCCTCTACATTGCAAGTCTTTTCTTCACCTTCAGTTGTTGAAATTATATGTATCATGTGCCAACTATAGAACTTATTTATTGTGCCTCTCCTTCTTCACAGAACCAGACGAAGATTGAGATTTATACTTTATATGGAGCATTAGTCACAAACCTATTACAAATGCCTTTGCATCATCTGAGACATACATACACACACAGGGATGACAAAAGCGGGCTTACAGTTGTGGGTACATGAAATAATTTATTATTGTATTATTATTTGATTATCATATTATTTATTTGTATTACAACTGTAAGCCTACTTTTGCTCATGCTCTGGTTAAGTCATTGAGCGTCTGGCTCTTTCTTTCTGGTCTAGGGTTTACTTAGTTTTAATTTTATTTTTCTTTTTATCTCCTATAGCACCTACTAGTTTGTCAATAATATAATAGGCAACAAGAAAATTTAACAAATGCATATATGGATGATTGAGAGACAGAATGAATAAATGTGAAAGTGTAAAAGAAGTGCTATAGGAGAAACTTGGTTTTTCTTGCTGATGTAATAAAGAATTACAGATCAGCAAGTCTATGTATGAGCAAGGTTTTTTAGTGCTATGGTCTCATAGAAGAGAACTGGCCTTGCTGAGGTAGGGGTTAAAAGACATAGGTTCAAGGCAGGGCAGGACAAAGCAAGAGCAAGGGTGGCAAGAGCATGGGTGGCAAAAGCATTAGGTCCTTTGTCCTCAAAACTTATATTGTTGGTGGGATATGGAGAAGGAGTTATGCTGTGACCAGCACCGAGTGGAGGTCCCTGAGTGGGGGTGACAGGAGATTGAGAAGGACACAACACAAACAGATTAAGGAAAAGCAGGGTCCAGGTGGAGCATTGTCCTTGGGTGGAGAAACAATGACCCTGAATACGATCTCCGCATTTATTTTATGGGAGTTGGTTAGATGAAGCTCACAGACATTTTTCAGACTCAGGACACATTGCGGAAAAAGATTGTACCATTCCCAAGCTACCTAAATGATAAAATATGTCTTCTGCTAAGGTTACAGTCACATTCAACTGAAACTTGTGGTTAACTGTTTACTTCTCAACTCCCCTGGGTTTGGCTGCTGTCAGCTGCTGGCTTGCTCTGCTTTGCAGATACAAGCAGTCAAGTGTGGCTTTGCCAAGCACTTAATCTGAGTTTTTGAAGTCAGCCTTTACTGTCCTCCACAGAGTTACACATTGATTGCTGGGTAAATGTGGTGCCAACTGCCCCCGAAGGGATGTGACTACCCCAATGTAGGTATGTGTGGGGGTCTGTTAGTCCAAATTCTTATCTTGCTCCAGACTGTGTTTGGTCACTTTGTTGTAAAACAAATCCATGACAAGAGGCAGTTAATTAAAGTTGAGGCAGTTACCCAAACATATTTATGGGCCCTTTCTGTAAACACTAAAGACTCCCTTATAAAGCAGAAGTGAGCAGAGGTGAGCAATTCACCAAATTTGCTTTACAAGCTTCTTTTTTGGGCACTGTAAACCCATTCCTCTTCCCCTTTCTAGACTTTGAGATGAATACACAGTTTCAAAAGCTTTCTTACCCAGATAGTGGAAATGATACATTGCATTTCAAGGACTCCCCTCCTCCCATGTTAACATGGTATTTTATACGATGTTGGAACACTTGGAAATACTATTGCACCAGGGAATATTATTGAACCAGGCTCAGGGCTGCTGAGTTAGTGTTTGAGATCTGTCTCCCTCCTCTTCTCAGTCTTGGTTTACTATCTATCCTACCTAATAGAAAGGAGATAAATTAAAGAAAAATTGAGATGAGGCACTACTATGAATTATAGCATTAGATTTGAAATGAACTTTTGTAAATTATATAGTTCTCAGAAAACACTAGAAAATGAGTTTTAAAAAGTAAAATTCACATTTGCATTCTCAGGAAAGAAAAAAACTCAATTTCTGCAAAATCATCCATTTATATGTGACAGTGCACAAAAAAAGTCTTACAGGTAATAGCAAATTAAAAGTGACTGAGGTAACAGAATCATGCAGAAAGTATGCAAACAAGATATTGTGAGGTCCCTAAATATAAAATGTCTGGAGAAGTATTTGGGAATATGACTAATATACGAGGTATCTTAATGGGAGAAGAGGAAGAACTCAAAGTTTTCTGCGAACCTCCTATATACTAGACATAGTAGTGTTTTTAGAAAGATGACTGGGTGATATATTTATCTTTTAGTCCTCACAGCAGCTCTATGAGGTAGATATTATTTGTAGATAAGGAATTTTAAAGTTATAAATGAAAATAATGACCTCTAAAAAGTATAGCTAGTGGGGAGTACAACCTGAATTTGATTACAACTCTACGTTAGTCCTAAATCCATGCTCTTTCCAGTAGGTCACATATAGAATCTCCAATATCCACTAACTCAAGTCAAAAATCAGTGTTATCTTTGGTTCCTCCTTATTCTTCACCAAGTCATACCAAATCAGTCACCAAGTTTTGTCTATTCTTCAAGAAAAAAAAAAAAAGATCCAGTTGTTTCTTTCTAAACTCACTGTCATCACCCTGATCAGCCTCTATCTTCTTTCCTGCAAACAGATGTAACAACCATTTCTTCATATTCACTTTTTCCTTATTTTAGTTTATTCTTCATGTGACAACTAAATTAACCTGATAAAAATACATAAATGATCACATGACTCCATTGCTGAAAGTATTTATATGGCTTCTCATTATTCTTGGATTTCAGTTGGAAAGTTTTAACATGACCTATAAGACTTCCATAAACTGCATCTTTAGTTACCTCATTCTCTTAATGCTACTTTTCACATCATTGTCTGTACTCAAGCTGTATTCTTTTTTTTCCCGTATTTCCTTTTTCACCACAAGTCTTTACTGTCATCTTTGCTGAAAGTAGGCCTCTTCACCATCTCTCATGTCTCTTAGCTTTTTTCTTTTAGCTTGGTTTTCAGTTCTCAGGGACCCAATCTTTGACCTTCTTGTCTCAGTTAAGTCACCTTGCTATGTATTTATGCAACACTTTGCATTTCTCCATTTATTTTTTCACATTGACTTCTGCTCATATAAAACTCTGAGAGGACGATTTGCCTGAATTTATTTCCTGTTGTATTTCTAGAGTTTACAGTGGTGTCTTGTGAGTGGTAAAGTCTCGATTAATTCATGTTAAATGTTGTGATGATCATTACAAATTGAAAAATAAATATTAAAAATGAAGTTACTCAAATGAACATTCCACCTTTCAATATCATTTAAATGCTATTTTATTGTCAGTGAAATCACTCCCATTGAGGAGGTAGTCAAATCCTCAAACTTGGCTGAGTATGTGATATATGACAGACCAGATGACTCCAGTGTTACTCTATTGCCCTGAGCTGCCCTATGGTTTTGAAGAAGTCCTAGATCTCTATGCCTAAGAAAACCCTCTCTGGTCCTTTGTCAGTAGAATTAGTTTAACACTCTGGATATGAAGTTATTAGGGACATCTACATTTTTCATTTATGCATTTGATAGAGAATTCCATAAATGTTTAATATATAAAGAGTATGCTCAAATATTGTGCAAAACATTGAGTAAGTTCTGCTGAGTAAGATAAGCAAGGTTACTTCCCTCACAAAGTTTAGAATTTGCTGCTTTACTCTACTTTAGAGACTGGTATAATCAGAAGGTATTAATGTATGCATTGATTGGGTGGACATGTATAAGGCAGTTTTGCACTTAGGAGGCCAGGTTTACATCTATGAAACTATAGAAGTCAATCATAATAGCTGTGCTAGAAAAGATAATTTCTGTGTTACAATAATCTCAAGAAAGAATGTCTTGTTATCTATCTCATCATACCCACAGAAGTACATAATTTAAATGTTAAGTAGGTTTGACTTTTCTCTGTAAAAGAGGTTAAAATTCACTAATTATTTATATGCAATTGATGATTTTTCTTTGTTTTTGTGGTTTAGGTACATGTCAGTGTGGCAGGTGTAAGTGTGATAATTCAGATGGAAATGGACTTGTTTATGGTAAATTTTGTGAGTGTGATGACAGAGAATGCATAGATGATGAAACAGAAGAAATATGTGGAGGTATGTGTATTAACTTTGCAGAAATTAATAAAATACTTAATTTTTCATCTGTTTCACTGTATTTTTAACTCTCTATAAATTTCTGTACTAGTTTACTAATTTAGTCTGAACCTATTTGGAAAAAAAATTATATAAGGAAATTTAGACTGAAGCATTCAGAGTAACTTGTGCTTTTTAAATGCAAAATCAGATTATTGCCAAATAGAGCCAGGCGACATGGCAAGCAGTCATTTTACATAGTTCCGAAGTGGTCTTAGTTGGACTTCATCTTGTCTGCTCACTTTAATGGCTTTTATTGCCTCTTTTCTTCTAATCTTTTAATTGCATATTTTAATTTGATTCTCTCTTCCCTTTCAAATTATAAGCTTTTAAATAGTCTCATGTCTTATTGGGGGCATGAGACCAATAGGACTATTAGCTTAGAATTTATTCACTGCCCCCCGCAACACATACACTTAGATAACAGTTTTTCGTGATCTTTTCTATGTACCATCATTACTAAAGTCGTTTTTTTTTCTGTTTTACTAGTGATTACATACTTTCTAGTGCCACGCACCGCAATATGTCCTTCACATTCATTAAGTAACTTAACCCAGGTTCATTTCTGCAATTCTAGTGGAATTTTTACTCCTGTCTGTCTGAAACCAAAGACTGTTCTCTTGACCCCTTACTAAAGAGAACTGTGTCACTGCTCGGGAGTATGGAGCTCCATGAGGAGATCTCCTCCTTCCCATCTGTAGTGTCCCTTTTGTTCTGCTCCCTTTGTGCAAGCATGTTCCCAGAGCTTCAGTTTGCAACTGTGACTGACACAGGAGAGGGGAAGAGAGAGCAGTGAGAATCCCTTTAGTGTAAGTAAATTCTTCTCTGCTGATTATATTCCGTTTTATTCTGGGATCATCTTTCCATTGATAAGCAATTGTTAACTTCATTTGTGTCTGACAAGATTCCAGTCCATGGAATCTTATCCTGTATGCAGAATAGGTAATTTCAGAAAAGTATTTTCCTTGGAAGGATCAGGAACAAACGGGGCCAGGAGGAACCAGAGGACCATAGAGAAAGTGTCAATAACATATGACAAAATGTCCCTTTGTTTACAAAAACAAATTATAGCTTCAATCCCTGTGGTCATCCAGTTACTCTTATTTTAGGTCTGTTTGGTTCTTTCTCTCTCGTTTCCTTCATGAACAACCTACCAGGGTAAAACAAACTAATGCCTTCTTTTTTTTTAAGCCAGTGATCTAAGCTTAAATATTCCTAAAGGGCTCAATCCAAAATAATTAGAACAATTAGATAAATCTACCAACAAATATTATGTATTTGTCCTCCTGGTGTTTCATTTCCAAACACTGCAGGTCAAAAAAGAAGAGGAAGAGAACATGTTTGGGACTAATGTCTGATGCAGACCACTAATACAAAGTCTATTTGTATATGTAAATGTAAACATTTAACTAGAAACAACACAATAGAAAATGTTTAATTCTCAACCTTTCGCTTAGACTTCCATTTGTTTGAGGCTTGAGCAATTTCATGGTGCAAAGTCTCTGACCACAGACATCAGCTCTCTGTAAACATCCTCTGGGGGTGACTTTGACTGGGTTTGTAAATCTTGCCACCTGTCATTCACATGAAACCAGTCTGTTCCAAGGTGATTCTACAGCCCATCAGTGAAACAATTCAAAATGAGATTTTCTTGCTTCATCACTTTACACAAAGCAAAGAATGGTGCTTATTGTTTGGAATATGTGCTGTCCTGAAGCTTATATTTTATCTCATTTATTCAGATGTGCCTTGTTACAATATTTTCATTTGAGTTATGAGGATATCTGCCTAATCTTCCATATGTGCAGAGTGTAGCTTTACATAATTTTTCTTTTCTTTTTCACCTCTACCTCAATGGTATTTTTAGTAAAGCTCTAATTTAATACTGACATTTATAGTATACAAAGAATTTGGATGTGCAGAATGTAGATTTATGATGAATTGTTAATGTCAAGGTAACCCTTGAATATGTAGCACCTTGCATAAATTTCCTGAAATTGCAGGGGAAATAAATTCTGGTTTATGAAGTTAATCAAGTTTTTTAAAAAAAACTAACTCATAGGAAAAGCTTTTAGTAGTTCACAGTTGTCTTGCTTTTTTACAGTATAATTCTCAAGTTTCTGAGGCTTGTGATATAGCACTGTAATGTGATATTTTGTGTGCGTACATACAGAGATATTTTTAAGCTCATAAATAAAATGTATGATATATACATATGTTATCATTATAATATGTAACTATAAATATAAATGTATAGCTTGATAGCCTTTATATGGGCCTAAGTGAATAATTTTAAATTAAAGTTGTTTTAGAAATGACTTTATTTAATGTATTCTCCAATTACTAATTATTTAGACAGAAAACATGACATTGTATGCATGGGTCCCTGTCTCTCTTTATATCTTATTACAGTACTGGTTCTCTTCATCTCTTGGTCTTCCTCTGTGTCTCTCTGATGTGTGTCAGCATGAAAAAAGTCTCATCTGATGGACAAGAGTAGCATAAGAAACCCTACTGATACTCTTGTCATTGGCCAGGAATGCCATAGTGTTTAGAAAGAAAAATAGCCTCACAATCAGTTTCCCATGGACCTCTGGGATTATGGCTCAGGAGAAGGAAGGGGAGTACAAACACTTTAGCCGTAGACTCTGATAACAAATATTCCTATAAGACAGAAAAAAATAGACTAAAAAGCAAAGTTCAGTGTGACCCTAGTTTTTATCATATTTCCAAGAACAAGAAACACATATGTGCTTAGATGGGATAACTACAAAAAGGGAGGACATAAGAAGTGATTTAGAGTTACCATCTTTTGGGAATTTGTAAAAGAATTGCCAGATATGGATGGAGAAATTAATGATGTGGTGAAGCATTACTGATTTCTGGGACATAAGCACACATGATTAGGGTAATGATTTGAAAGGGTGTGATGGTATAAGGGCACAAAATGATAGGGTGCCTTTACCTGGTGTTTGTATCCAGTTCACAAATACAATGAGAATTTGACTATGATACCCAGGATCCATGATATTTCTTTGGTCTAAATGAGTACTAAACATTAGTTTAGTTGAAAATCTCTTTTCCACATGGTGGAACAAAACAGCCTGTGGGATACAGTTGAATGAAAAGATGGAACATTTCCTCTGGTTTAAGAAATGGTTCAGCCATTAACAATGTGTATCTAAGTAAATACACACCATTGGTTTCTCAGTACTTAATTTCAAATAAAATATTTTAATAACTAATTCAAGAAGTGCCATTACAGTACTTAAATATATTTGAATTTGATGAATACATTTGAGATTGGAATGTAATAGACTTCCACAGAATTTCATATCATTTGTTTAAAATTCTTTCCTTTTTAATTAGGTACTTGGCTAGGACAAATTAGAGGATACTTTGACTTGCTTAATGTGTGTAATTATGTAAGCATTAGCACATCTGTAACATTTTGGGGACAAGCTACATAATTTAATTAGAAACAATGAGTGAAAAGTATATTATTTTGGAAGGTAAAAATGATCATAAAGGGATAGAAAGTTAATTCTGTTTTTAAAGTTGCTTTTTTCCTCACTATATAAAATTCATTTTGGGTAAAGGCCATGGAAAGTGTTACTGTGGAAACTGTTATTGCGAGGCTGGTTGGCATGGAGATAAATGCGAATTCCAGTGCGATATCACCCCCTGGGAGAGCAAGCGAAGATGCACATCTCCAGATGGCAAAATCTGCAGTAACAGAGGTGTGTCATTCATACACATTACTATATAATGGAGAGGGAAACAAAGCTCTTAATTGTTAGCACTCTTCTCTGTATTTCCTTCTGTGTTGAGGAAGTCATCTTCTATAATCATTGGTTTTGATGAAAAATCAATGTTTACTATACTAATAATTTTCTCTTTCTTGTTTTTTTTAATTGAGTGGAAAACAGAAAAATAAGAAAGTTACTGTCATTATTTAAGCTTCACTCAGTAAATAGTTAACACAGAGACTGTAATTTCTTTGGCGGCCATCCAGAAATAGCACAGTACAGCTAAAAGGCAATTCTCATAGATTCTTCTATTAAACTAACAGAACCATCTACAGCATGAGCATCTAATTATCCAGACGACATTAAAAAAAACAAAAACCTCTCTTCTTAATTATGAGTAAGCTGAAGACTTGGTTGAAATACAGAATTGATATAGAGTTATTTAATTTTTATACACAGTAATAAAAATGTCATATTGATCACAGCATATTTGTATGAGTCAAAAGCATATGAAATTTAGACTGGCCTTAGACATGAATTAAAAAAAAATTACTATTTCTAAAATATAATTTAAAGTGAGTCAACTGTTTATATCAAATCAAATAGTTTTGAACAATTCTTAAAAATCCTTAGAAGTTGTTTATATTGCTTTGTCAGCTGTACCAGTGGATAAAAAGAACCGTGCTAAATTGTTCTTTGCCTACCTGATGCTATAAATATAATAAGTGGCCATATTTCCTTCTATACAAATATATAAAGCTGGAAAATATTTTTATCATTTCTATAAATGAATGATGTATTTTAATAAGTAATGCTTCTGGGGAAAACCCTAACACACAACCAATTTTCTCCTTTTAAAGATTGACATAAATTAATAAAATGTGCCACATATCTATAAATAGAGAAAAGAAAGAAAAAAAGCCTAAACTTGGAACAAATATCATTAAGATTTTTTTTAATTTAATTCGTACAGAATAGATCTGACTGTATATCATACAAAATCACTTTATGTTTTTCCTTTAATATACAAAAGGACATGTTTCTGCTTCAGTTCTTTTATTCACTAGGGTCAGTAGTTTCCATAATGATGTAAGTATATGAAGCTTGAACTGTGCAACTGTGGGAAATAACAATTAACATGTTGAAAAGAGAGGAGAGATCTGATTGGGTTGTGGATCAGGTCCTGATTCTGCAGCAGGGATACGCGGGCTCTGTGAGACAGATGTCTTTCAGAAACACATTACTTGCCAACTTTCCATGTCTCACCTCCTGGTTTCCCCCTTCCCTATGCTCAAAGTCATCTGATTTGGAGATCTGGCAGAAACAGAACAAGAAGCAACATGTCTAAATGAGGCTGGTAGCTAGTGAGACATGTGAAGGCAGGCCAGGGGCCAGCATGGCAATGAGTTCCTTTTCTCAGAGGGTACTACTGTTCACGTCCAGCCCAGAACTCTCTGTATCAATATTTCCCAAGAGAGAGACATTAATCCTGCACATAACTACCTTGTCTTCCTTTTTAGCTCATCTTCAAGGGCCATAAAACAATTTTGTGAACAGAGCTAATCAGTGTAGAATAAATATCCTTTATTGCCCCCTTTAATCACAGCTTCACATTGGACCCGATTTATCATGTGCCCATACCCTCACATCGTTTATAGTATTAAGAAAACAATTCATATTCATCTTTAAAAACACAGATAGTAAAGTAGAAAATGATTCATATTCTTAAAATACAGATATAACCTCCTTTCCAATTTTGGTACATAATCTTTTGGCCTGTTTTTATTATTTATTTTTTAAAAATTCATCACCCTGTGTTCCCTGACATGTATTTTCTTCTTATTTAATACAAGAATTGAATGATACTATGCATACTAATTTGTAATTTTTTTTATTTAATCATATATTTGGGTATCTTTCCATGCTCAGCAAAAATCTAGTTTGTACTTTTTATGGCTGCTTGGTAGTCCAAGCTACACATTGTACTAATTCCCTGTTGTTTGATATTCATATCTTTAGTTGTTTTTCACTAACATGAATGCCATAATATTTAACATTCCCAAACATGTACTCTTGTGTACTTCCCCTATCCTCTGGATATATTAATTGAAGTAGACATTTATGCTAAATAAGACCCACATTTTCAAAGTACATATTATACAAAAAGGCACATCCAGAATTGTACTATTTTGTACTTCACACCTTCAACAGACCTTGATCCTAGCAACTTTTTCACTTCTGCCAATCTGACATGCAAAATAATTTTAATCACTGTTGTTTTACAGTCCCCTCATCCCCTCCCCTTAGTAATCATAAGTTGAGTGGTAAATATTTTTCATGTTTATCTATCATCATTACATGTCTACAAAGTCTTTAATTGCTATCCTTTGCCTTTGTCTATTTTGCTCTAGGCATATTTGCTCTTTACATATTGATTCTTAATAATTGTTTATGTTTGTGAAAGTAGCTCTTTGTCTTTTGTACACACATGAATTGTTATTCCAACTGTTTTAGATTTTCTACTTGTTTTTGATGTTTTGCTTCCTGCCAAAATTTTACATTTTTATATAAATAAATCAATTCTGTTTTTATTTTTAGTAAATTGCTTTGAGGATTTTGAATAAAAAAGTTTTATTTTATATTTTATGATTTTAGTTTATATTTTGAAATCTTTGGTCTACCTAGAATGTACTTTGTTGTAAGAAGTAAGAAAGGGATTTAACGACATCTTTCCCATAAATGATTAGTTAGTTACTCTAAAGATGATGATTGATAATTCACACAAAGTAAATATGATTGGCAATTGGGCATTATACCTATGCAAGTCTCCGTATGATTAAGGTTATATCTCTACCTAATCTCCAACATCTTTTATTTATTGTTAAAATATATTTGTCTCCATTTTCCCACCAACACTTTTCCCTGCCCAACCCACCTCCACCTCCCACCCTCAATGCTTCCCCACTTTGGCTTTGTCTATGGGTCCTTTATACATGTTCCTTGATTTGACCCTTCCCTGTCTTTTCCCCATGACCCCCCTCCTTCCTTCCCTCTCCTTACTATTGGTTTCTTTTTTCTTTCAATGTAGCTGGTTATATTTTTCTTGCTTATTTGTTTTGTTGATTAGTTTCCACTTATAGGTGAGATCATATGGTATTTGTCTTTCCTCACTGGCTTATTTCTCTTAGCATAATGCTCTCCAGTTCCATCCATGCAGTCATGAAGGGTAGTACCTCTTTCTTTCTTTCTACTGTGTAGCATTCCATTGTGTAAATGTACCACAGTGTTTTGAGCCACTCATTTATTGATGGACACTTAGGTTGCTTCCAACAATTGGCTATTGTAAATTGTGCTACTATGAACATTGGGGTGCATAGGTTCTTTTGAATTGGTGTTTTGAGGTTCTAAGGGTATAATCCCAGCAGCGGAATTGCAGGGTCAACAGGCAGTTCCATGTTTAGATTTTTGAGGAAATTCCAACCATTTTTCCACAGTTGCTGCACCAGTCTGCATTCCCATCAACAGTGGATTAGGGTTCCCTTTTCTCCAAAACCTCACCAGCACTTGTTTCTTGATTTGTTTATGATGGCCATTATAACAGGTGTGAAGTGGTATCCATTGTCATTTTAATTTGCATTTCTCTGATGGCTAGTGATGGTGAGCATCCTTTCATATGTCTCTGGGCTCTTTTTATGTCTCCCTTGGAGAAGAGTCTGTTCAGGACCTCTGCTTATTTTTAATTGAATTGTTTGTCACCTGGCGTGGAGTTACATGAGTTGTTTATATATTTTAGAGATAAAACCTCTGTCTGAAGAATCATTGGCAAATGTACTTTCCCATACATTTGGTTCCCTTTCCATTTTACTGATGTTTTCTTTAGCCATGCAGAAGCTTCTTATTTTGGAGTTCCGATTGTTTATTCTTTCCTTTATGGCCCTTGCTCTAGGGGACATATCAGTGAAAATATTGCTGCGGGGGATATCTGAGAGTTTCCTGCCAATGTTCTCCTCATGGACTTTTATGATGTTGAGACATATTTAAGCCTCTAATCCATCTTGAATTTGTTTTGCATGGTATAAGTGGGTGGCCGAATCTCAATTTTTTGTATGTACCTGTCCAGCTCTCTGAAAACCATTTGTTAAAGAGGCTATTTTTACTCCACTTTATGCTTCTGCCCCCTTTGTCAAAAATTAATTGACCATAGAGACATGGGTTTTTTCTGGGCTCTCTATTCTGTTCCATTGATATATGTGTCTGTTCTTATGCCAGTGCCAAGCTGTTTTGATTAGTGTCCTTGTAATGTAGTTTGATGTCAGGTTTTGTGATCCCTCCTACTTTGTTCTTCTTTCTCAAAATTACTGCAGATATTTGGGGTCATTTATGGTTCCACATAAGTTTTTGAAATGTTTGTTCTATATCTGTGAAATACATCATTGGTATTTTAATAGGGATTCCATTGAATCTATAAAATGTTTTGGGTGGTGTGGACATTTTGTGATGTTAATTCTTCCAGTCCATGAACATGGTATATGCTTCCATTTATTTCTGTCTTCCTTAATTTCTTTCTTCAGTGTTGTATAGTTTTCTGGGTATGGGTCTTTTACCTCCTTGGCTAAGTTTATTCTTAGATGCTTTATTTTTCTTATTGCTATAACCAAAGAGATTTTTTCCCCTGATTTCTGATTCTGATGTTTCATTGTTGGTGTACAAACATGCCTTCAATTTCTGAATATTGCCTTTGTAACCCTCTATTTTGCCAAATTTATTTATTATATTGAGTAGTTTTTTTTTTTTTTGCGGAGTCTGTGGGGATTTCCATATACACTAATCATGTCATCTGCAAACAATGATAGTTTTACTTCCTCCTATCCAATTTTGGTGCCTTTTATTTCTTTTTCTTGTCTGATCTCTGTGTCTAGGACTTCACATACTATGTTGAATAGAAATGGTGAAAGCGGACATCCTTGTCTTGTTCCTGATCTTAGTGGGAAATCTTTTAGTTTGTGCCTGTTAAGTATGATGTTGGCTATACGCTTTTCATATATGGCCTTTATTATGTTGAAGTATGTCCCCTTTATTCCCACTTTGTTGAGTGTTTCTATCATAAATGGATACTGTACCTTATCAAATGCTTTTTCCACATCTATTGGTATGATCATGTGATCTCGGTCTTTCCTTTTGTTTATGTGATTTATTACGTTTATTGATTTGTGAATATTGAACCATCCTTGCATCCCTGGGATGAATCCCACTTAGTCACGGTGGATGACTTTTTAATGTATTGCTGGGTGTGGTTTACCAATTTTTGTTGAGGGTTTAACATCTATGTTCATCAGCAATATTGGCCTATAGTGTTTTTTTGTTGTTGTTGTTTCTTTCTCTGATTTGGGGATTTGGATGTTGCTGGCCTCATAAAAAGAGTTTGGGAGACTTCCCTCTTCTTGGATATGTTTGGAATAGTCTGAGAAAGACAGGGGTTAGCTCTCCCTTAAATGTTTTGTGAAGCCCTCCTGTGAAATTGTCCAGTCCAGGGCTTTTGTGTGCCAGGAGTTTTTTGATTACTGCTTCAATGTAACCAGCAGTAATTGGTCAATTCGGGCTTTCTGCTGCTTCTTCATCCAGTGTTGGAAGGTTATTTTTTTCTAGAAATTTGTGCATTTCATCAGGGTTTTCAAATTTCTTGGCATATAATTGTTCATAGTAATTTCTTACAATCCTTTGTATTTCTGTGGTATCAGTTGTTATTTCTTTTTCATTTCTGATAGTATTTATTTGGGTCCTCTCTCTTTTTCTCTTGATGAGTCTCCTTAAAAGCTTGTAAATTTTGTTTATCTTTTCAAAGAACCAGCTCCTGGATTGATTGATCCTTTGAATTGTTATTTTAGTCTCTATGTCATTCAGTTCTGCTGTGACCTTAATTATTTCCTTTCTTCCACTTGTTCTGTGCTTTGTTTGTTGTTGTTTCTCCAGTTCTTGAAGATGTAGGGTTAGGTCATTTATTTGAAATATTTTTACCTTTTTAAGGTAGGCCTGTGTTTCTATGAACTTCCCTCTCAGGACTGCCTTCACTGTGTCCCTTAGGTTTTGGACTGCTGTGTGTTCGTTTTCATTTTTTTTGTGTGTCCTACCATGTGGTCTATCTTTGAAAATGTTCGATGTGCATTTGAAAAGAATGTGTATTTTGCTTCTTTGGTATGAAAGGTTCTTTATAAGTCAGTTAAGTCCATATGATCTAATGCATCGTTCAGTTCCACACTATCCTTGTTAATGTCTTGTTTGAAAGATCTATCCATTTTTGACAGTGGCTGTTAAAATCCTTCACTATCATTGTGTTGCTGTCTTTATCTTTCTTGATGTCCTCCAAGATTTTCCTTATATATTGGGATGCTCCTATGTTTTGTGCATATAGATTTACAATGCATATTTCTTCTTGATGGATTCATTCTTTGAGTATTATGAAGTGTCCTTCTGGGTCTCTTTTTATGGCTTTCATTTTGAAATCTATTTTGTCTGGTATAAGTATTGCTAACCTTGATTTTTTCCCTGTACATTTGCTTCTAATATTTTTTTCCATCCTTTTAATTTCAGTCTGTGTAGGTCCTTTGTTCTGAAATGGGTCTCTTGTAGACAGCATGTGTGTGGCTTGTGTTTTCTTATCCATTCAACTATCCTATGTCTTTTGGTTGGGGCATTTAATCCATTTACTTTTAACATGATTATTGATAGATACTTATTCATTTTTTCCCTTTTTACTTATGATCCTCTCTTTCTCACTCTTTTTCTTCATGTTCTTAAAGTAGTCCCTTTAGCATATCTTGTAGTATTGGTCTGGTGGAGGTGTATTTTTTTAGCCTTATTTTCTCTGTGAAACTCTGTATTTCACCTTCTATTTTAATTGAATTGCTAGGTAGAGTAGTCTTGCCTGCAGGCCCTTGCTTTTCATGACTTGGAATATTTCTTGCCATTCCCTCTGGCTTGTAGTGTTTTTTTTGGGAAGTCAGCTGCTTGCTGGATCAGGAATCCCTTATGTGTTGTTACATCTTTCTCCCTTGCTGCCTTTAGGATTCTCTCTATGTGTTTGATATTTGCCATTTTAGTTATGATGTTTCTTGGAGTGGGCTTCATTGGGTTCCTCTTGAAAGGAATTATCTGTTCTTCCTGGACTTGTGTGACTTTTTCTCTCTTCCCATTAGGGATGTTTTCCATCATTACTTCATTAAACTGGTTTTCTATCCCTTGTTCCTCTTCTTCTTCTGGTATCCCTATTTTACAGATATTTTTACATTTTAGATTGTCCTGCATTTCCCTGAATGCCTTTTCATGCTTTTTGAGTCTTTTTTTCATTTTCTTGCTCTTTCTGGGTGTTTTTTTCTCTATTGTCATCCAGCTCACTGATTCTGTCCTCCTTAATCTAGCCTGTTTTTGATTCCTTCTCCTGTGTTTTTCAATTCAGAAATTTTATTCTTCATTTTCTATTGCCTCGTTGATAGTTTCTATGTGTCTTTTCATGCTGATATATTTTGCAATACACTTCTCATAGTTTCCCTTTGTTTTTGGTAATTCTCTTTGCGCTTCCTGAGCTTCCTTAGAACCGCTGTTTTGAACTCAGTATCTGGTTGTTTAATTGCCTCTATTTCATTTAGTTCTCTTTCTGGGGATTCCTCCCATCCCTTCGATTGAGGGGTATTTTTTTGTCTTCCCATTATTTGTGAGAATTTTTTTTTTTTGGTTCTGCTTCTTAATTTTTTTTTTTTTGACTTCCTGACTTTGTGGTGTGAATACCTATTGTAGGAGGCTGCTATGTTTTTTTCTTTCTTTTTGGATCTACCTCTGATGATGTCAGCCTTTGACCCCATCTGACCTTATGCTGTCTTTAAGAGACTTTCAGTAATCTACTGTTTGTGTCTGTCTCCTTCAGTTGTTAATCTAGTCATTCAGCCCTCCACAGTCAGGCTTAGGCACCACAGGGCAGGCCAGAGTCCCTCCTATGTGAGGGGTTATTGTGTCCTTTCATGATGCTGCTGCTTAGGAGAGTAGTTTGCCTGACCAAGATGGCTGCTGTCATATGGGGGAGGAGTCAGCACCTGGATCCCCATGGCTACTCTCTCAATTCTCTCTCCAATGCCTCCTTCTCCCGACTCTCCTCAAGCATCTCTAGACCACACTGTGCCCCCATTAGTCAGGGATCTACTATCTGTTGTTGCCCCTCTGTACTCAGCAGTCAGGCTTAAACACCACGGGGCCAGGGCAGAATCCCTACTTGGGGCGGGTTTATTGTGTTCTCTCATACTACTGCCACTCAGGAGAGTGGTCTTCCTGGGCAAGATGGCTGCTGCCATATGAAGATGAGTTAGCACTGGCGTCACACTGGCTACTCTCTCAGTCCTTTCCCAAAAGCCTCCTTCCCCAGTCTTTCCTCTGGCGGCTCCAGTGTACTCTGCCTCCGACTTTGCTGGAGACCTGGGTAAGTGACTGCCAATACAAATTTATGGGTTGGCCCTTTAAATGGCTCTTTATATCTACAGCTGCCTATCTTTGGCAGAGAGCAACCCTGCCGCTTTTCAGAGCTGGTTGTTATCTGTGTACTTTTTGGGCTCTCGTGCTGTAGGCTTGAGATCCCTGCTTATGGTTTAGACCACGCTATTCTCAGGGGGATCCAACTGGCTCTTTTCAATATTCTTCTGGTGCTGATGCAATGGGCGCCCGCCTGCCTTTTAGAGTCTACCGCACTCTTTACCAGTTAGGTTGTGCTAAAGCTGATTCCTCTGTCTGTCTGAGTTTATAAGGTTCCTCTCTTGCTATTGTTTCCATTATTTGCTTCAGGTGATTTTTCCACAATTTAGTTGTAATTCCAGATTGGTTTTTGGAGGAAGTCAGTGTGATATCCATTAATTCCTCCACCATCTGAAGTCCTCCAACATCTTCTATAACCTAAGTTCATTTACTCTAACAAACCTTATTCTTAGGTTTCTCTAACATGCACCATCTGCTCTTGTGATACAGGACTCCTTAGGATCCCCACACCCATCCCTACCTTTCTTTTCTTATTCCTTCTTCAGTTTTCTTGATTTATTTTACCTCCAACCAATCCTAGAACATTTCCCTATATCCCTACATATCCAAAACATTTACCTTAATTACTTCAGCCCATATTGATTTCTTCTTTCCCAAATACTTAACAGTATTTCTCTGCATTTATGTCCCAATGTACTAAATGCTAGTTCTTATACATTCATTGTTTGCTAATTTTTATTTCATTAACTTTTCTTTTTCAAGTAGGTAGTAAGCTCCTTTAAGGCATGGATTTTACCTAATGCTGTTTTAATAGTTTTTGGTATTATTTCTGAGACAAATCATCACAGTGTTACTGATGTATTGCATGATCCCATTTTATTATTAGCATAGATACCAACTTGTTTATTAAAGAATCTCTCCTGTCAACTTTAGATGGTGTTTCTCCTTTGTATAATATTTTTTTCTGAACTCATGTATTTTTCAAATACAAAGTAAGCAAAAGATTTCTTAAAACAATGTATAAGATGCTTTCTTTCATGAATTCTTAGTAGATCCATATAAAATTATTTTTCCTATGTAGGGACTTGTGTGTGTGGTGAATGTTCTTGCCATGATGTTGACCCAACTGGAGACTGGGGAGATATTCATGGAGACACCTGTGAGTGTGATGAAAGGGACTGTAGAGCTGTCTATGACAGATATTCTGATGACTTCTGTTCAGGTAAGTGCTCTCAGAATTCTAATTTTAAATAAGAAATATTCATTTTTCAATTTTGAAGATTCATTTTGATTTTCACAGAAACTGTAAAGGAACTGCATGTGTATTCTAAAACATTGGATATCCACAGTGCTCCTATTATTAGTCACTTAGGAACCTTTAAGGGAATTCACACATTGGGCAAAGACTAGAAATAAAAATGCACTCTCTCTGTTAAAGTTAGCCTAATTCCTCACCAAGGAGAACCATTAGTTCCAGATATCTATTGCTCAGCTCTGAGCATACAAAATAGCCAATCTGATGACCATGAACAGGATAGATACTATTATGACAAGCATTATTAATATATTACAAAACTTAGGATAATGCCATTCTCATGGATATTTTAATGTATTAATTCTTTGGTGTAATTTATATACTAAAATTATTCCACAACTTAGTCTAAAATTGAAAATCAATTAGTGGATTCAAAATTTTATTTCATAAGTATTTATGGAAAAAATAGTAGTTGCAAGGGTCTGTACTGCATCTGGGCTACTGGGTCCAGCAGTGAAGGAGACAAATATGATTCTTGATGTTATAGAGCTTGCGATCTAAATATATGGAAATATGTGACCTACCAGAATTGTTAATGGTTCAAAGGGGAAAAAGATTGATCTCAAAAGTGACATTAAGCAAAAACAGATTTATGGATTTTCAACCCTGTTATGTTTGATAATCCAGAAGGCAGAGGCATATGCACATACATCTCTTTAAGCTTGACTGCTTGATTGGCATACATAGAAAGATAGGAAACTCCACTGGTCTCCTGAAAGTTTGCCAGCAAAGAGATAAAAGAGCTTCCCTATTTCATTATCATTATGCAATGGCAAAGACTTCTCTGCCCTGTCCAGGGGAACCTGTTGCTTCAACTTCCCACTGCAGAAGGGTTTCCCTCTTTTGATTAGCCCTCATGTTCAGAAGGATTTCTTAAACATTTTGTGAACCCTGTTCTCTTGAGGAGATGATGCCTTTTTCAGATATTTATATTATTTATTATCAGGAATGTTCTTTATTATCATAGTTATAAGAATAGCATAGAACTTTATTTTATTGTAAAGGCAATGGATAGTTTGTGATGGTTTTAAGCAGTAGAGTGTTATAGTCACAGGTTTCAAGTCTGGTTGTCTGGGTAAATGTTGGTGCCATTTACTAAAATGGAAAATATAGAAGGAAGTTGCCAATTTTTTTCTATATATATAGATCATAAACAACAAACAGCAACCCCAAATTGGTAGTTTTTTCACCTATTGAGTATGTGGGTATAAACTCAAAAGGACCAGGACTGAACATGAGAATTTAGTCATAAGCACAGAGTTGGTAATAAAAACTACACTGGGGTTCAGAGAATGCCATTTAAGAATGCCATTTTAAGATTGTGAGATAAAACATGAATTCAGAAAATTTAAAATAGGAAAATAATAGAGATAATCAATCAGGTTACATATAACAATAATAAATGTGTGGTTTTCTGATATGCCTTTTTTTATTTTAGCATAGGGTTCATTCTTCCTTGTTAAACCCATGATCTTGATCTTGATCCTGATTTAGGAATGAGGTTGAAAAATTTAAAATAACTATACTATAATGATAATTCAGGATCATGTGAACTGGTCTATCCCATTGTGAGGGACTAGGACCATGAGGTGAAGATGAACATTGGCTCTTCAGTTGATAATCCATCCTTTTATAAGCTCACACTTCCTGCTGCATGCTATTTAGGCTTTGGATTACTAGTATAGGTTGGGAGGGTGAATGTTATTAAGAAGGACTCCTTGGAATCTGAAATTTTGCACTTCATTTATTCCCTCCCTTCCTTCTACCCTAGTTTTCTCTTCCTCTCTTTTTCATTTTTCCCTATCCAATGAGATTTAAAACAAGAAAGTTAAGCAACTGGGGTTTCTCATTGGAGGTGTTTAGAAGAGAATGATTAACTCTTTATATGTGGTCCCCATGCTGTAGGTGTAGAAAGTGGGGATAGGCAAAAGTGATGAGGTAATAGGCTATAGTTTGGACAATAAGACATATGATAATGAGACATAAAATTCATAATTGTGGTTTCATTTTTTGTTTGTTGAGTGAATTGAATATGGCTAGTTCTCCACAATCTGTCTCCCATGCTTAAGATGAGGAATTTAGGAAAGAGGAAACATTTACAGTGATCTGACTTTGAAGGACACTTACCAAGTACATTCACACACCTCATTCCGTTTTATGTTCACACTAACTCAGGGTGGGAGGCATGATTATCTATAGTTTAACGGAAGAGGAAAGAGGTTCGAAGAAATTAAATAACTTGAGAAAGTTCACACTGCCTTTGTATCATCTAAAAACACATAGAGTTTAATAAATCATATAATTTAATCTCCAAGTGATACAAATAAAATTATTGAACCCCTTTATTTGCGTAAGGAAGAAGTGTCCTCTTGATACTCAAAATTCTTATAAAACTAAGCTTCTCTGAACATCATTATGACCTTGGGCAAGCATCATTATCAGTCATATTACTGTATTCTTACTAAATCTGTACAATTTTATATATTATGCTTAGTGAGTTATTAGTCTTCACATTGTCCTAATTGCCTGTTTAATTGTACTGTAAGAAGAGTATCGTGTGCCTGATTATTGAGTATGTCAATAGTTTCGTTTTATGATAAAGAAGTAACCCAGCTACATTGATATTCTCTAGTGATTTCTGCAAGGCTGAAGTGTAATAAGGTTTAGATGAAATTCAGCTTTATTTTTAGCTCCCATTTGTACCATCTTGAGAGTATTTATTTAAACACTTATTCAAATCCAAAGGAAATCTCCTGAAGGATTAGTTTAACTTGGCTCTTTTAATTGACATTCTCATTTTATTAATTCATTCTCATTTTGTCCATTCATCTATTTAATAATGCACTTAAGTGTAGATATTTTGTGCCTACTCCATAATGGGCCTGGAAGATATACATATTTTAAAACTCAACCCCTGCTTTCAAATAAGTTTATTTGTTTTTTATTCATGTCTGTAGTTCATCACCCACATGGGTGTGTGTGTGTGTGTATATTTATTAATACACAAACATGATTCATACACAGACACACATACCCACATACATGTGCATGCACAAATACCCCAAAGACGATACAATTGACAAAATTTGGGTGTGGCTAAAATGACCAGGACATGACCAGTTATCCTGAAGTATACAAACTACTTTGTTACTTCAGTTCTATGAGTTGCTCCACTGAATTTACTTTCTGATTCTGAAATAACTTTTTAATTTCTTATGGCTGCTTACTATTCTGGTCTATTTCTCAAAATCCCATAATTGGAAACTATGCTGCAGTTTGACCTTAAACTCTATTTTATAGCTTGTTCTGCCTACTAAAATAGCTAAAATATAAGGTTATTCCTGGCTTCAAGTACCATTAGTTTGGAAAATGGAATCATTTGATAGAATCATATTATATGAGGAAATTTATCATTGTGGATTACTGAAGCATTAAGGATGGAAACTGTAGGAAATTATTTAAGTATGTTCAGTTTGCATTGTCTTGAAGGGAAATCAATATATTCAGTATAATTTAAAAAAAATTACAAGTACTGGTTAGATCTAATTTATTTTTCCAAACTTTTCCCTATTCATAGTCTTTATATTACTTTGTATGAAGCTACTTGTAAATATCAGATTCTAATTTATGAGCATTTTTTGGTCATTTTAAAACAAAGGAACATCCCTTATAGCAGGAGTGTTTGGGAAGAATGAAACTGCATTTGTTTTGGATTGATATATCTGAGTTTAGATAGCTCAACTCAAAGGAACACAATGATTGCAAAGAAAAAATAAGTTTTGGAGTCAACAGCTTTTACTGTAATGGTTTGAGAGCCTTGATAGTTCTACCCACCCAACATGGCCATGATGTCATTTGATATCTAGTCTTGTGCCAACTCCCTGCCCATATGGTACAGACTGAGCTGTGATCCCATTTACATATCATCAACATCATGTTGTTCTTCCATTGTGTGTATATGTCTTTAATGTATGCTTATAGATATTTTGAAAGCAATTCTCTAATATGCATTCTCCTCACATTTGATATCAAGAATGAATAACAACAATCTGTATCTTTCATCTCTACTTTGTTATCTTCTGCCTACAGAGTTTAAAGGAACACTTATTAGAAGCAATGAAATTAACTCCTGCAGGACCAATATATATATTTGACAAAATAGCAAGGAAGCATTAAATTTCAGGTCAGGGTGGTCAAATTTTCTTTTTCTGGTTCTTTCACTTTTAAAGATAAAAGTCCAATGAGATAAGGCTCAGAAAGGTGAACAAGTGACACATTTAGATCAAGTATGCAGGAATCCTAATTTCTCTTATGGTCTTTTCACTATTTGTTTATAAAATACCCTGACAGAGTATGTTATGGCAGTCTAAAGGATTTTGATGCTAAGTAGATTTTATCTTTTCTAAACTCTTCTTTGTATGTCAAAATCATGCATTTTCATCTTCATTTTATCCTTCCTCTCTTTCTGGCATAACTTTTGTACTAGAATTGAGACAGTAGGAACTCAAGAAGAAAAATTGTAGTTTCATTTTAAGATTCCCTGTTTTGTATGAAAAGCTCAATACCTACTTCAGTATCTGATATCAATTCCTTGCATTTCTAAGTTATTGCCTAATTACATTAACTTTGTAGGAAGGGTACAGTTTCATTTAAATTGAGATCCATAACATTTGAAAATATATTTGACAGCATGTGACTTGGAGTAATTAAAAGAGGTAGGGTAAAATTTTTCATTAGTGTGAAAGCAAAACTTATGTTTATGTTTTCACTTGTCAATTAATCTCTAATAAACGGATTAGATGATAGAAGCAAAGGCAAAAACAATAGAGAAAATGTTTAAATAATTCTAGTTATATTCATTGAGATATTTGATTCAAGTATTTCTAATTTCCCAAAACAATAAAACCTTCATATAATTCTCCATGACACTATCTTATTATTAAACTTGTTGCCATATGCTGTTCACTGACTCTTGGAAATTTTATTTATTATGGATGATTTACTTAGGCCATTCATATTTTAATAACCCTTCTTTTCTCAGCTTGAATTTGTTCAATTGATGTCATGTCAACTTTTGAGGGTAAAGTGTAGAAGACTCATAACTGGATGATTTGAGAAGGAGCAGTGGTCATTCCAAACTAGACAGTATTCTCCCTCTCTGGTTCTATCCTATTTAGAGGCAAAGTTTTTCTCCCCACAGCCAATCACAGCAAAGACATTATCTCATTAGTTCATTCCAATGTGTAAGCACTCCAGTGCAGCTGAGTCCTTCAGAGGGCATTTTGATTAAGCAAAGACTGAGGCTAAAGCAGAAGGCACAAGAAGTTAGGGACCATCACACACATGCAAAAGTGAGGACACATTTTTATATGCTGTTCCTGACTATACTTGGAATTGGTGATGCCTGGAGTTGAAGCATAAATCTATAAGAGTTATCCTTGAGATGGTCCATGATGCTGCATTAAGTGCACAGGAAATAGAGGTATGAGATATTATAGACTATATTTTCCCCCTAGTGTTTATGAGAGCACAGAAATATCAAAGGATAAAGAAAATGAAGTTTCAATAATATGTTATTTTTGTCTAGAGCAACTGCATTTTTATAATTTAATGCATTCACAATTAATCTGACTTTTTTGATATTAATTGGACCAAATTTTCACTCTAAAAATCTCTTATTAATGAATTCTATCTCCATGAATTTATTTTATTCTACCACAAATTTTTAAAAATATTGACATGTGAATGATCTTCAGGTAGAAAATAATAACTTCTTTTAAACTTGTATCCCAATTATAGAACTTGAGACTGTTCTCCCCTCAGTCACAGGAGTCCTCAATACAGGCTCCTGCTTCATTTCTTGTTCCTATTGAGACCCTTATCTTGGCAAGTGTTGCTGCCTGTGCATTTTAAGCAACTGCAGCAGCAGGTAGGATCCTCCTGGGTCAATAAGGATTTTCTGGCATTTAAACATGCTGGGTGTTTTGTTCTAATTTTTACAGCTATTTTAAACTTTCAAGAGTAAAGCTTTTTTTCCATTTCAATCTAATTGTATTGTTTACTTATTTACTTATTTTTGTTAAAGTGTCAACTGCTCTTCCACAAATGGCAGCATGTCCTGTACTTTGCCTGGTGTCCTCGAGGAAGATCTCTTTTTGAAGTGAAACCATTTGTTTTCAAGAATTTCAAAGTCATTGTCTCCTATAAAATGGCAGAATCAATTGTACTTTAAATTAAAGATTTTGTTTTAAAAATTGTAATTTACCTATACATTTTCAATACAACTCTGTTTGCAAATTTTGCTCTAAATGACACGAGGCTTGAAAAGAAGGGTAGTAATTTCTTAAGCTGGGAGAAACAGCAAAAAACAAAAACACCTAACAACCAATGAAATCTAATTTCTAATAAATTGAAGTATAATAATAAAAATTCGCTTGCCCTGGCTGGATGATTTAGTTGGTTGGATGGTCATCCCATACAACAATAGATCATGGTTAGATTCCCAGTTAGGGCATATGCCTAAGGTTGCTGGTTTGGTCCCAGATCTGGGTGGTATGGGAGGCAACTGATTGATGATTCCTCTCTCACACTGATGTCTCTCTATTTTCCCCTCTCTCTGTTGTTCCTTCTGTCTCTATCTTTGTCCGTCTCTCTCTTTACCTCTCTCCCTCTGTCCCTTCCTTTCTTTCTAAAACCAATAAACATATCCTTGGGTAAGGATTAAAATATTCTCATATTTGAAGGTCTAAAGGATCCTATCACATGTTATACATATTTACTGGTCATCACAATTTTCTTTTCCTTTAAAATGATGGTTCTAAGGCAGAGTATTAAAAAAGCAAGTTATTGTTTAGACTCTATTACATTGTAGGACTCAATAAATATCTTTTGAATTGAATTTAGTGTTAAAATGAGATATTTGTATTCAATGATCCCTAATATCTCACCCAAATTTAACCTATGATTTTATGATTTGTTCCATGAAGATTCACATTAATTGATGTTGAAAAGACTCCTGATATGTGGATTGTTCAATTCTTCAAACTTGAAAGATAGATATCTGCCCCTAAACCATGTAATATTGATAAAACAGGCCACCCTTCACTGAAGACCAATTTCCATAGTGTGATATATATTAATATCAGATGCCAAAGACAAAATAGCATGGATTTTCATCCATTAATATTATACTTGATTAACTTAAAGAAAGTGTAATTTCACTTCCTTTAAAATCCTTCATGCATTTTTGCAGCAATTGTAGAAATCCTTGTTGTTCTGCATTTGTAATGAGTATCTAAATGTTTCCAAAGAGTTAGGAAAATCTCAGCTGAAGTTATCTTGCTTTCCTTTCTATCTCTACATGATTACGTATGTGGACTCAAACAAATAAAAATAATAGCTCACTTTTATGTAATATTTTAAGATATATTATGTACTTCTTGATAAATGTGCATAAATAATGTATTATTATTCCATTTAAAAATAAAGAAACTAAATTTTGATAAGGTTGTCATTTGATCAGCCCTTCTCTCTAGGTAGCAAGATCAGGGTTTGAATCCAATTATTTGATTGATAACATAGAACATTTTCTTTTTAGCTATCCCATACTACTATTTATCATAGTTCTTTAAAGGCTCTGTATCCATTTGTAAAGAAATTTAATATCTTCCCTGACCTCTTTAGTGTGTGTTAAATGTGAACTCCACATAGGTTACTGGTTTTGAGGCTAAGCATGTGGTGTGTGGTAAAAACAAGTAGTGAAAATAAAGTGTGAGTGCCTCTAAAAGATAAGACTCTCCTTCAGAAACAAATTGTTTTCCATTTCCAATGTTTTCTTCCACATGAATTAATTGCCAAATCCATCAAATACTCCATTTAGGCCCAAGAAGGCCAATATAATCACATGCATATGGATTTTAATAAATTCAAGTTTATAGCCCTATGAACCTGTTTCTTTTCCAGAGTGACTGCTTTTCCTTACCCCTCATGAGCAATTAACATAAATTAGGTATTTAAGAGCTTGAGAAAAAAAATGTGATTTTGTCTTAATGTTTTATATTGTTAAAACATGCCTCCTTTGTGACATTCCCTGTTGAAATGAAATGAATTCTGACTTCAGTATAATTTTCACATGTATATGTATATATGCACATATATATTTTACTATTCTCTTTGTGAAGGACATGGACAATGTAATTGTGGAAGATGTGACTGCAAAGTAGGCTGGTATGGGAAAAAGTGTGAACATCCACGTTCCTGCCAGCTGTCGCCTGAGGAGAGCATCAAGAAGTGCCAAGGAAGCTCTGATCTACTTTGCTCTGGAAGGGGTAAGTGAGGGCTTTAAGGCCTTGCTACCACCTCCTAATCCTATAAGTCAAATGGATTCAATTCACATAAACCTTATTTAAAAGATAGCTAAGATTCTTGAATGGAACATTAGTCTTTCAAGAACCAATAAAACATACAGGTGATATATCATAGAATTGTATACTTGAAGCCTATGTAAGCTTATTAACTGATGTCACCACAATAAATATAATGAAAAAAAAAATAGAACCATCCAGGTTCCACGAGTGAAAGTACACAGATAAATATAGCCTCTCTCTTTCCCTCTCTGATTCCCTTACACACTCACATGCTGTTAATCCACTTTAGCTTTGAGGTTTGTTCAATTTCTGTTCAGTTCAATTCAGTTCAATGGTACATTAAAAAGAAAAAACATGTTTGAATATTAGTTCAAAACTTTCTGAATGAGACCATGTAAGTGTTCATGGAAACTCAATAACATTGGTGTCTCAAGGAGAGTGTTGGTTTTAGAAAGAGCACTGTATGAACAGATAGTTCTGAATAGGTTTTTGTTGCTTTAAAATGCATGTGGTTTCAGGTTTGCTCTTGGTACCAGATCAGTACAAATTGGAGATGGAAAAATTCATCTAGAGGAAACCTGGTGCCATTCTTTTTGATTTACCAAAATAAAGAATACAGAGAGAATCAAGATGTTGGAGGAGTAAGTGGAAGTCACACAGACTTCCTCCCAGGACCAACCTGGAATTATAACTAAATTGTGGAGAAACTAACTGGAAAAAGCAACTGAACAATAGCTATAGAGGAGACTTATAACCTTGGACTGACAGAAGAATCAACTTTAGCACAACCTAACTCATAAGGGTTGCGATAGAGACTCAAGAAGGTGGGTGGGGCGCCCACGGGCAGCAGCATCAGATGGATATTGAAATGGCAGTTGGATCCCTCTGAGAAGAGCGGGGTCAGAACCATAAGCAGGAATCTCAAGCCTACAGCACCAGGGCCCCAAAAGTAAACAGATAATAGCCAGCAGTGAAAAGTGGCAGGGTTGCTGTCTGCCAGAGACAGACAGCTGGAGACACAGAGTTGTTTAAAGGGCCATGCATGAATTTTTATTTGCAGTCACTTACCCTGGGCTCTGGCAAAGGGAAGGGCAGAGTGGGCTAGAGATGCCTGGGGAGAGACTGGAGAAAGAGGCTTTCGGGAGAGAACTGAGAAAGTAGCCAGTGAGATCATGGTGCTGACTCATACCCCAGACAGCAGCAGCCATATTGCTCAGGTGACCACTCTCAGGAGCCACAACAGATGAAAGGACCCAATAACCCTGCCTACAGGAAGGACTCTGCCCTGCCCTGTGGTGTCCCTAAGCCAGCCTGCTGACTGCAGAGTGACTAGATTAACAGCGTAAGGAGTCAGCCAAAGACAGTAGATTCTGAAAAGTCCCCAATGACTGCCTAAGGTCAGACAGGTTCAACATCTGACATCATCAGAGACAGATACAGAAAGAAAAAACAACAGTCTCCTACCATAGCGTTGACACCATAAAGTCAGGAAATCAAGACAGATCAATTTAAGAAGCAGAAGAAAAAGAAAAGAGCCTCACAAATAATGGGAAGACAGAGAAACACCACCCCAGTCTAAGAGAATGGAGGAATCCCCAGAAAGAGAACTAAATGAAATAGAAGCAAGTAAACTCTTAGATATTGAGTTCCAAACAACGGTTCTAAGGAAGCTCAATGAGCTCAGAAAGAATTACAAAAAACTACAGGGAAACTATGAGGAACTTAACTGCAATCTATATCAGCATGAAAAAGGACATAGAAACTATCAATAAGAGACAGGAGGAAATGAGGAATACAATTTCTGAATTGAAGAACAAAGTAGAAGGAATCAAAAGCAGGCTAGATGAAGCTGAGGATTGAATCAGAGAGCTGGAGGACAAGAGAGGAAAAAAGCTCCCAGAAAGAGCAAGAGAATGAAAAAAAACTCCAAAAGAATGAAGAGGCATTGAGAGAAATGCAGGACAACCTGAAATGTAATAGTATCCATATAATAGAGATATCAGAAGGAGAAGAGGAGCAAGTGATAGAGAACCTGTTTGAAAAAGTCATGATGGAAAACTTCCCTAATTGGAGGAGAGAAGAAGTCACACAAGTCCAGGAAGCACAGAGGGTCCCATTCAAGAGGAACCCAATGAGGCCCACGGCAAGACACATCATTATTAAAATGGCAAATATCAAAGACAAACAGAATCTTAAAGGAAGCAAGAGAGAAGAGGTAGTAACATAAAAGGGGGCCCCATATGGCTAGCAGCTGACTTCTCAACAGAAACACTGCAAGCCAGAAGGGAATGGCAAGAAATATTCCTAGTCATGAAAAGTAAAGACCTGCAACTAAGACTGCTTTATCCAGTAAGGCTCTCAATTAAAATGGAAAGCGATATAAGGGGTTTCCCTGAAAAAAGAAGCCTCAAAGAATACATCTCCACCAAACCAGCGTTGCAAAATATGTTAAAGGGACTACTTTAAGAAGATGAAGAAAGAGAGTCTGTGAATAGCCTCTTACTTTCACAATCACCAGTACTTGACATTATCAATATTTTTAATACTTATTAACCTGATTGACAATGATGTGTTATTTTAATTGTTACTTTATTATTTATTGAAACTAAACCTGTTTTTGTATATTTCTTGCCTATTTCTATTATTTTTAAAAAGCTTTAAATTACTTTTTGGAATTTTTTATTCATTTTTTGATTAAATGTTTGTAGAATTTTTGCCATAAAAAAGCCCAGAAAACTCTTAACCCTTTTCTATATGTGTGACAAATACATTCCCGTTCTATTACTTGTCATTTAATTTTTTATATGTATATTACTATATAGTCTTCAATGTTTAATATAGTCATATTGTCAATATTTTACTTTATATTCTGGGTTCAAATAATTTCCTTCAGGGTAAGAAAAATATTAGTTTGTGTTTCCCCCTAAAACTCCTTAGATTCTACATTTTGATTTTTAATTCACCTGAATATTTCTTGTATATTGTATGAAATAGGGCTCTATATTTGTTTTATTTCAAGTAATAGTGGTTCATGCACCTTATTTTTTTAATAAGGCTCATTTTCCCCATTGATTTGAAATATCAATTTAAGCATATATATCATTGTTAGACAGACATATATATTTGTTTCTAGAATGCTCATTATATTTCATTGATCTGCTTGATTATTTTTGTGCTGATGTCGTTTTGTTTTGTTTTTTAAATTTTATTTTAATTTATTTTTCAAATACATTTGTCCCTGCCTCCCCCCCACCGCTTTCCCTTGCCCCCTCCTGCCTTCCCTCCCTCAGCTCTCCCCCTTTGGCTTTGTCCATGAGTCCTTGCTATATGTTCCTTGACTTTCCCCTTCCCTTCCTTTTCCCCGCCCCCCTCTCCCTCCTTCCCTCTTGTCTCTGTTGGTTTCTTTTCCTTTCAGTGTCGCTGGTCTTATTTTCCTTGCATCTTTGTATTGTCGGTTAGGTTCTGATTATAGGTGAGATCATATGGTATTTGTCTTTCGCCCCCTGGCTAATTTCGCTTAGCATAATGCTCTCCAGTTCCATCCATGCTGTCGCTAAGTGTAGTAGTTCTTTTTTTCTTTCTGCTGCATAGTATCCCATTGTGTATATGTACCATAATTTTTGATCCAGTCATCTACTGATGGGCATTTAGGTTGCTTCCAACACTTGGCTATTGTAAATTGTGCTGCTATGAACATTGGGGTGCATGGGTTCTTTTGTATTGGAGTTTTGGTGTTCTTAGGGGATAGTCCCAGCAGGGGAATCACTGGATCAAAAGGCAGTTCATTTTCAGCTTTTTGAGGAAATTCCACACTGCTTTCCACAGTGGCTGCACCAGTCTGCATTCCCACCAACAGTGGACTAGTGTTCCCTTTTCTCCACAGCCTCGCCAGCACCTGTTGTTTGTGGATCTGTTTATGATGGCCATTCTGACCGGTGTGAGGTGGTACCTCATGGTGGTTTTGAGCTGCATTTCTCTGATAGCTAGTGATGCTGAGCATCCTTTCAAATGCCTCTGGGCCCTCTGTATCTCCCCCTTGGAAAAGTGTCTCCCCAGGTCCTTTGCCCATTTTTTGATTGGATCATTTGTCTTCTTGGAGTGGAGTCGAGTGAGTTCTTTATTTAACTTGGACCTCTATCTGTATATTAACAGAATTATGCAAACCTCTATCTGATGTATCATTAGCGAATATATTTTCCCATATGGTTGGCTCCCTTTTCATTTTGCTGATGTTTTCTTTAGCCGTGCAGAAGCTTCTTATTTGGATGAGGTCCCACTTGTTTATTCTTTCCTTTATGTCCCTTGCTTTAGGAGACATATCAGTGAAAAAATTGCTGCATGGGATATCTGAGAGTTTCCTGCCAATGTTCTCCTCTAGGACTTTTATGGTGTTGCGACTTATATTTAAGTCTTTTATCCATCTTGAGTTTATTTTTGTGTATGGTGTCGATGTCATGTTTTAATTGCTGAGACTTTATATTGTATTTAAAATTTTTAATATTTTATAATGGATATTGACATTTAAAAATAAATAAATAAATAAAATCTGCATTTAGAAAAAAGAAAAAAAAAGGAATTCCTCCTTTTTGTGACATCATGAATGGAACTGGAAAATATTATGCTAAGTGAAGTAAGCCCGTCGATGAAAGACAAATCAATATGATCTCCCCTATAAGAGGAATATATTCAACAAAATAAACTAAGGAACAAAGTTAACCACAGGCAAGGAAATATGGAGCAGACTGAAAGTGACCAGAAGGGATGGGGAAGGAGGACAAAGATGGAAAGAAGAAGTTACTAAACAAAGAACATGTATGAATGGCCCATGGACATGGACAACAGAGTGGTAATTGATGGTAGGAGTGTGGGTGGGGTGGGATGGGTGGAGGAGGGCAAAGGGGGAAAACCTGAGAGAAGTGCAAAAGAATAAAGATGATTTGAAAATAAAATTTAAGAAAAGA